GGTCATCGAGTCCAGCCCCCCGCCCTCAAGGCAGGAGTGTAGTATCCTGTTCCAGTATAGGCTGTAGTTTATTGATAATGTGTTGTACCAGTTTAAGTTGGGGGCTATCGGTGATAACAAGTGGTGTTCTATTGTTGGTTTTCTTGGGCCTGTCTTGAAGTAGATGGTTTCTGGGTATTAGTCTGGCTCTTTCAATTTGTCTTTTTATTTCTCCGGGTGGGTAATTGAGGTTTATAAATGCTTGGTAGAGATCCTGAAGTTTCTGGTCTCTGTCAGTGGGATTAGAGCAAATGCGGTTGTATTGAAGGGCTTGGCTACAGACGATGGATTGTATGGTGTGTTCTGGATGGGAGCTGGAGGCATGTAGGTAACTGTAGGAGTCAGTGGGTTTTCTGTAGAGAGTGGTGTCTAATTTACCATTTAAATTTGTACTGTGATTTGTACTGTGGTGTCCAGGAAACAGATCTCTCATCATGGAGAGTGGTCATGCACATTCTCATGCTATCGCTGAATTCTGCAAAGCTTAGGTTGTACACACAGCACAAGTGTCACTGAAAAAAACCAAATATGACCTGGCCATGTCCCTCTAAGCCCCAATTTGCATTCAAGTTCCTAATTTAACTTGTTAAAAGGAAGCCCACACATTTCTATCCCATGGGACAGAATGTAAAAGTGCTGCTAAAGTGATAGACTGAAGACAACCAATCAGGACTGAGGCCCTAAGCTATGGCAAGTTTGAAGAGGCCCATAGCATTACCAAAAATGGTGTATAGGAAACCCCCACCTTATGACAGCCCAAGTTGTACCCCCCCCCCCCCACACACACACACGACCATTTTTGTAAGTGCAGAGGGGGCCAAAAACCCCCAACTAATGTCCTTGGTCCACATTTCCAGTAGCGCCTATCGTAAATGCGGGTTTGAGTTAGGACACCTCCGACTTGCGACGCGATCGGTTCCTGGGGAAGCGTCGCAAGTCAGGGGCTGCCTGCACTATTCTAACAGAAAGGGCAATGCAAATAGAAATAAAGCTTTTTATTTGCATATAGACTGGTACCCAGGAGAGGATGCAACTAAAAGTCTTTTTTTGTATTTCGAAGCCCCTCATAATCGGAGGCCTTAAACTGTTGCTTACTTAGCTTGTGCATAAATCCAGCACTGCAACCAATGGCCTATCTACCAAAAGAGTGTGGAATAGCAACCAATGTTGAATAATTTGCTGAGGAAGGGATGAAGTCCCCCTAGAATCCATGACAAAAGAGCAGAATTGCTGGCTACTGAATTTCTTCTTGGAGGGGAAGAGGGGAAGAAAAGGAGGAGAAGAAAAGTTACAGGTGCATTTTTATAATTCAAGTACTACTGCCACCTGCCAAGAAGATTGCAACTAGTGTAATGACGTCCTTTTTCTTACAGCTGATCAAAAATACAATTGGTACCCGCTCTTGTAAGAATACAAAGTATGGACAGTCCAGCATTTTCTCAGGAACTTTACAGTCATTTTGATAATATAATCCCACCCACCATATTACAGTTTACACCTTAAAATCTGATGCACATGCACATAACCAGCAGTGTCCAACACAGCTGCCAGGACCCAGTGTCTTATAACCCTGGGCACTGTTGTTTCAAAGAGTATACATGAGTATACCCTTTCAACAATGCAACTAGTTGAAGGTGTTTGGTGATAAGGGAAAAGCATCACAGGTAAAAACAGCCTGATACGTGTTTAGTTTCTATGTGGTTAGGTTTCAGATTTAGATTTGCAGCACTGAAGCTGGTTGATCTAGATTGCTCAGCCTCTGCCAGCCAGTGAAACGAGGTCTCAAGTTATCTGGAGAACTGCTGTAAATCTCTGAAGAGAAGGGTGGGGAGGGGGAAACAAAAATATTTGTAAAAATTAATGGGATTCTTTGCACAACGGCTAGAGAAGGTTTTGCAGGCATGCAGCCAACGTGGCTTCAGAGAGTAAAAAAGCATGTGGGCTTTTCACAGCTCTGCTCTGGAACATTAAAACAAAAAAGACCGGCGCAGTGAGGCAGCTAGGCAACAAGTCACTTTGATGCAGGACAAACTACGTCAATGGGCTGCATCACTGCTGAGGCTGTGGGGCTGGGGAACCCTCCTACAACACATCACTGCCCACACAGTGAATTCAGTTGACTGTTCTTGTCCTGCGTTCTATAGGCTCTGAAGGGAGGAGGAGGAAGAGCAAAAGCAAAGCATCACTCTTCACTTGAGTGAAAGGA